CCCCAAAACCCCAAAACCCCATACATCAATATTAATAATTAATGTTAGAATCTTAATATTCAAGTAATGTATATCATTGTCAATTTTCATTTTGATATTTGACAAAATTTAGATACGCTTCCTCCGCCTCTTTCATATAAACTGGCAATTTTGTGTACATTTTACCTTCTAGATCAATAACTCCTATTCTTACTTTGTATTACTGCCCTTTATAAGTTAATATTTATTCATTTTTCAAGCTTTAATGCTTATTGTCTATATCTTCTTAACTTATTTTATCAACTATTCTCATAATTATAGTGAAATCTTTGGCAGTTGCTGATATGAGATAGCCAATTATCACGTTCCAGAGTTGCTCTTGATTATTTTGATCGCATTACTAATTAGCTAGTTCATTATTCTTTGCAAATTCAAAATTGTTAAATATTCTCCTTATTATATCAAAGTGCTATTCTCGAGTAGTCTCATCCAAGAGATATTTAGCAACTTTATTATAACAATCCAAAACATATTCCATACTATGCATGCAAAACTTTTAGAAATCAAATACTGCATTTATAATATTGGACTCGAGGAGAAAATCTGATATCAAATAAAGTAAATCATCCTCAACTTCAAATAATTCTTCTCCATTCATGAATAACCTGCCATAAATTTATCTATCATCAATTAAGTCTCTGAGTGATTTTGATAGTGATTCTTTGTTGAAAAAGTCTCTTGGACAGTATTTTGATAGATTATTTAATTTACCTTTATACTTTCGGGATACTTGCATGATGTGATATTTAGTAAACTCATTGCATATAAACTTTTCTTTCATGTCTTGTTTTGTATTAAAATTCTAAAGTTCGCTTTCATTCTACTCAATATAACTTTTCACCGATGTTGGTACGTATTCTACAACTCCAGATTTGGGCTTCGTCTCAAATGATATAACTTTCTACAATTTGATGTCATCAGTGGGTTCAGGCTAACTGGAGAAATTTGTAGCAAGCATCGCGGAAGGGCATGATAAATCAAGAGTGCTTAGAGAGTTAATCTTTGATCTGTCACACTCCTTTGAATCATTCAAGCGACTATCAATTATTTTGAGGAACTCTTAAGTTAGAGTCACATATTCAAACTCCTACAAATATTTAGACAGGATTGGATGACTCATAAAAACTTTCTCAATGAAAAGTTTATTGTACTCTTCCAATGGGAATAAAGTTGGGTCAGTATAGTATTGCACATTGTTGTTCTTTCTAATTCTCAAAATCTTTGAGGAAAGTATATTGTTGGAACCAATATATCTCAAAATAATGTTGTTATTGCCCTCATTATAGTATGTCCACTAGTCCGGATCATTAAGCTCTTCGCTAATATTTACTTTTTGTTTCTATGTTTCCATTTAATATTATTCTGTTTCTTATAAAAACTATTCAAATTTTAATTTCCTCTCATGGGGTTTTGGGGTTTTGGGGTTTTGGGGTTTTGGGG